CTTTTAACTGTGATCTGCTGTTGTCATTTTGATTAGCTTAGCATGAATAGAGCTTTCCTGGAGCATTTCAGTCCCTGGTAGTGCAACTGAAACAAACAATCAACTATGGGTGGCAAGGCACTTTCAAAAGTCTCTGGGATAAAGTTGTGGACAGGCACAAGTCAGGAGATGGATACAAAAAATCTCAATGCCTTTTTTTAATGCCTAGAAGCACAGTGAGATCTAATATTAAGAAGTCGAAAGCTGTTTGGTACAACACAGACCCTCCCTGGATGAGGATGTCACTCCAAACTGGATGAAAGAGCCAAGAGGAATCTGGTCAGAGATGCTACCAAGAGTCCTACAGCAACTCTGAAGCAGTTGCTGGAATTGATGACAAAGAGTGGTTATTGTGTGCATATGACAATATCTCAAATTCACCAACAATGTGGCTTGTATGGGAGGGTTGCAAGGAAAAAGCAGCTCCTCAAGAAAGGCCACATGCAGTCACCAATGAGCTTTGTCAAAACGCACCTTGGAGATTCTGAGGCCACATGGAAAAAGGTGTTATGATCAGATGAGACTAAAATTGAATGATTTGGCCCTGACACTAAACGATATGTCTAGTGGAAATCCAATACAGCTCACCATCCAAATTCCACCATTCCTACAATAAAGCATGGAGGTAGTAATATCCTGTTTATGGGGTTTTCTGCGCAGGGACTGGAGCACTTGTCTGGATGATGGGGTAAAATACTGTCAAATTCTTCAGGAAAATCTGCTGCCTCCCAGCACCAGAAGGTTCTCAGGGGAAGAAGGTTTAGGATAACATGACAATGACCCAAAGAAAACAGGATGAGTACAGAGTGGTTAGAGAAAAAGGTGAATGTCCTTTCATGGCCTAGTCAGAGCCCAGACTTAAACCCCATTGAAAATCTGTGGAATGACTTGAAGACTGCAGTCCACAGTCACCATCAAATTGAACTGAACTGAGCAGTTCTGCAAAGAAGAGTGAGCAAATATTGCAAAGTCTAGATGTGCAAAATTAGTAGAGCCATATCCCAACAGACTAATGCAGGCCATAGATGGTTTGTTTATCGGCTGAATTTTCGTCCAAAAGAATAATCGGCCGATATTCGCACCGTTAGTGAGGCAATGTCGTCTGCCGATTTTCGCGGTTCCTCCTCATTTTTTTTTTGGTCATGCTGGAAAAATTTACAAAAAACGGCCGATTTTCGTCAGCATTGGTGGCAACAAAACGCCCGATTTTTTGTTTTTTGGCCGAAAATTCAGCCGATAAACGAACCATCTATGGCCAGCATAAAAGACTGGAATTAAATCAAAAGGTGGTTCAACAAAATTCTGACACAAGGGGGTGATCCTTTTTCCAACTCGGCAATTCTGATTTTGAATGTTTTAATTTTTTTTCTGACAAGCTGGTGTTATATCTTTCACTTGGATGGTATAGGTTGCAGTAAATACAGGTGGACAAAGCAAAAACTGTCTGTAGAGTGGAGATGGGTCAGAACACCTGTCAGATTTGTATTGCTGCTGTCCCTTTTAGGGAGAATCACCCTCTCTATTTGCCGTTTACCGTTGTCATCAAAAGTAAAAGAAAATCCCAAATTTAGCTTTGTGACCAGAACAGGAATTGTGGGGTAAATCTTTGAAAGGGGACACTAGTTCTGATGAGAGCCAGGGATACCTCACTTTGGATGGGTTTCCTCTCACTTCCTGTTTTGGCTATGGGATAGGAAATGAAGGGAAATCTCCCCAATGGGGAACAGATGGCCAAAATAAAACTGACAGGTGGTACAACCTCCTTTACCCTATCAGAAATGAAAAAAAAACAAAGTTTTGCCTAATTTCTAGGTCCTGGGTCTATACCCCCGCAGTGCCCATTATGAGGGGTCTCCACTATTCTATTTTATACATGGAAAATGTAACAGAAGGAGCAGGAACACCCATAAAATAAATACACAAGGCCAGGGGCTGATTCATGCAACAAGGCTGAGCCCACAACAACAATATCACCCTTGGGTGGGCTGACTTACTGGGTTATGGCATCTTCAGTAATTTCTACAGACTTTACTCATCTGTCTATGTCTCCTATGTACTTAAAATTGGTCTAAAATGTGTAATTTACTTATCTGCAGCATGTCATCCAGAGAATAAGCCACCTAGGGAGACACTGCTTGCCTGTCTGCAAGGTAAGACCCCCTGTCAGTATTTTATGTCTATTAGCTGCAAGCTTGCAATAAAAAAAAAAAAAAAAAATTTTAAGTGACCCATACAGAACTATGACCTTGCTGAGGACCAGTTTAGTCCCAGATCCAATACTGGTCACTATCTCATTATCCATAGCCACCATACTTTAGTGTTTTTATAATTGAATTGCTGAGTGCATAGCCTTTGCTGATCTGTATACAGTACATCCAGTCCCAGTATGCAGATGTTTTAGCTTAGAGGGCCGAAAGGGCAGTAAGCGCCCAGAGACAAATGCTCGGAACGCGGACTGCTTGCAGCGGGGCTGGACAGTGCACCTCTGCAACCTGCCGGAACCTAAACACGAAAGCCTCGTACACTGGGGCTAATCACCAAGTTTGTATGAGGTCTAAAGTCTAGTTCTACATTTGCAGTCAAATTTGTGAAACTCCCACTATATGTTTGCTATGGGTTCCCAACTACAAAGCATATAAAAAAAAAATGAAAAATACTATTTACGGTAGGTGTTTGTTTGGCCTTTGGGCAGACTGCAAGCTATTTTGCGCCCCCCCCACCAGCCAGAACACTAATCAGAGCCAATCGGCAGACTTTTTCCGGTCATGCCCCTGCGACAGAAACTGGCTGAACAGCATGGGCCAAATGTCGGGCGGTTTCTATTGAACCGGCTGATACCTCCTGACATTCGGCCCATGTGTACTAGGCCCTCCACCAGCCAGAACACTGGTCAGAGCCAATCGGCAGACTTTTTTCTGGTCATGCCCCTTCGACAGAAACCGGCTGAACAGCATGGCCAAATGTCGGGCGGTTTCTATTGAACCGGCTGATACCTCCTGACATTCGGCCCATGTGTACTAGGCCCTCCACCAGCCAGAACACTGGTCAGAGCCAATCGGCAGACTTTTTCTGGTCATGCCCTTTCGACAGAAACCGGCTGAACAGCATGGGCCAAATGTCGGGCGGTTTCTATTGAACCGGCTGATACCTCCTGACATTTGGCCCATGTGTACTAGGCCCTCCACCAGCCAGAACACTAGTCAGAGCCAATCGGCAGACTTTTTCTGGTCATGCCCCCTTCGACAGAAACCGGCTGAACAGCATGGGCCAAATGTCGGGCGGTTTCTATTGAACCGGCCGATACCTCCTGATATTCGGCCCATGTGTACTAGGCTTTACAACGCAGTCCAGGAAGTAATGCTGCAGAATGTAGTTCTCCCTTGAGCACGGGGTTTCCCTGATGGGGTTCTGGAAGTTGGTTCATGGACCTTAATGAAGGGACTCTTCCTATCTGAGTGGTATGAACTAGAAGCTGTGAATGGAAGGATCTGTGATAGACTGTGTCACATTCATTCTGTATTGGCAAGAAGTTCAGGCAAATATTTTCAAAGTTCCAAAAGTGTCAGGTCTGAAGGGGTGCATGTACAGCATACAAAAGAACGGGGTTTACAACCGGGGATGGACACTGCCAAGCAGGGGCGCACTTACAACTCATAGGGCCTCTGGGCAATAGGAGATCATGGGGCCCCTGTGTACTCGCCCACACCCAAAAAAGCCTATGAAAAAGCCAATGAAAGGTACCAGGGGCATCTCATGGGGCCCCCTACTGACCCTGGGCCCTCGGGTAGTGCCCGAGTGCTCAATTAGTCAGTCCGCCCCTGCTGCCAAGGGTTAATAAGTGGTGAATGCTGCAAAGTAAGAAGTTATGTTGTCATTGCCATGGCTAATCAGAGAAATGTTGGGTGCTAAAGCTGCCATCCGGCGGGTACATAGTATACCTTGGCAGGGAAGAGAGAGTGCTCCGGTACCGAGGGGGTTTCTAAGTGAAACCCCCTCCCTAGCGACCAGTGCCCCATATATCCGGGGCACGGGTCGCTAGGGAGGGGGTTTCTGGAGCCCCTCTGTATTAAAGCCATATGTCACGGGGATGAATGCGAAGGAGGCTCCTCAGAAGTACAGAATCTCAGAAAGTTAGTACTTAATACTAATGGGAAGCCTTAAGTATGGGGCAGCACAGTGGCTAAATGGTTAGCACTTCCGCCTGGCAGTACTAGGGTCGTTGGTTCAAATCCCAACCATGGCACCACCTGCCTGGTTTGCATGTTCTCCCTGTGCCTGCATGGGTTTCCTCCGGGTACTCCGGTTTCCTTCCACACTCCAAAGACATGCTGGTAGGTTAATTGGCTCCTGTCTAAATTGGCCCTAGTATGTGTATGTATGAATGTGAGTTAGGGACCTTAGATTGTACGCCCCTTGAGGGTTAGGGATTGATGTGAATGTACAATATATATGTAAAGCGCTGCGTAAATTGATGGCGCTATATAAGTACCTGAAATAAATAAATAAGTATGTCACTGGGAGTGAGGTGACATCAAAGCTGGGCTGCAGGAGCGGGGTGCAGGCGGTGCGGTGTCCCCTCAGAAATGCTGTACCATGTAGGGAAGTCTAGTCCAGATGAACATGTGTAACAGCATTGTGAAGTGAGCTGTGCTCAAGGAGTTCATTGTACCAAACGTTTTTCAGTTTCTCAATTGAAGTGCCGCCTTAATGCAGATTTCTCAGGACTTTGGCCCCTGCCGGCATATTCTGGCAATAGTGAGCGAAATTTCCAGTGCCCCCATTAGGGTGTGTTAAGCCCCACCCACAAGCAAGTAAAAAGGTAAGCAGCAGTTTGCAAATTTTTTATTAAGTTACACTTTGTGAATGGGAACATGTAACAAATACAAAGTAGGCGTTATCCCAATTTGGAAATTCAAATCCAAACAAGTAGTTTTCCATCTTTAGCTTTTACTATGGTATTGTCTGGTGGCCCTGCCTGGGTGGGTGCTGATCATAATGTTGCTGTGGTTGGATTACCTATATCTACTTCTCTGACAGGTGACTGTGCATCCGGACTCGGGCAGAATTACAGAGGGAGCATCAGTGTCACCAGATCTGGAACAGAGTGTCAGTACTGGGGCAGCAGGTTTCCGCACATAACAAAGTGAGTGTAGATAGATCATCATACTAGCTGCTGTTTTAATCTAAATATGTAAAGCGGGTCTGTCATCAAAACACACAATTCCCATAAATAAAGCACAAACCTGCATCAACAAATCGCTTTTTTTTTTGCATTTTGCATAAAAATATTTTGCCTGCTTTTCCTGTGCTTCCTGCCTAGCCAGTCTTTATCACATACAGTATAGTCCAATGTTTCCCAACCTTATTTCAGTCAAGGCACCCTTTACAATTCTGGACAGTCTGGAGGCACCCTTTAAAATTCTGGACAGTCTTGAGGCACCCTTTAAAATTCTGGACAGTCTTGAGGCACCCTTTAAAATTACGAACAGTCTTGAGGCACCCTTTAAAATTACGGACAGTCTTGAGGCACCCTTTAAAGTTACGGACAGTCTTGAGGCACCCTTTACGCTTTTAAAATTACGGACAGTCTTGAGGCACCCTTTAAAATACGGACAGTCTTGAGGCACCCTTTAAAATTACGGACAGTCTTGAGGCACCCTTTAAAATTACGGACAGTCTTGAGGCACCCTTTAAAATTACGGACAGTCTTGAGGCACCCTTTAAAATTACGGACAGTCTTGAGGCACCCTTTAAAATTACGGACAGTCTTGAGGCACCCTTTAAAATTACGGACAGTCTTGAGGCACCCTTTAAAATTACGGACAGTCTTGAGGCACCCTTTAAAATTACGGACAGTCTTGAGGCACCCTTTAAAATTACGGACAGTCTTGAGGCACCCTTTAAAATTACGGACAGTCTTGAGGCACCCTTTAAAATTACGGACAGTCTTGAGGCACCCTTTAAAATTACGGACAGTCTTGAGGCACCCTTTAAAATTACGGACAGTCTTGAGGCACCCTTTAAAATTACGGACAGTCTTGAGGCACCCTTTAAAATTACGGACAGTCTTGAGGCACCCTTTTAAAATTACGGACAGTCTTGAGGCACCCTTTAAAATTACGGACAGTCTTTTAGGCACCACCCTTTAAAATTACGGGCAGTCTTGAGGCACCCTTTAAAATTACGGACAGTCTTGAGGCACCCTTTAAAATTACGGACAGTCTTGAGGCACCCTTTAAAATTACGGACAGTCTTGAGGCACCCTTTAAAATTACGGACAGTCTTGAGGCACCCTTTAAAATTACGGACAGTCTTGAGGCACCCTTTAAAATTACGGACAGTCTTGAGGCACCCTTTAAAAATTACGAGGCAGGCACCCTTTAAAATTACGGACAGTCTTGAGGCACCCTTTAAAATTACGGACAGTCTTGAGGCACGCTTTAAAATTACGGACAGTCTTGAGGCACCCTTTAAAATTACGGACAGTCTTGAGGCACCCTTTAAAATTACGGACAGTCTTGAGGCACCCTTTAAAATTACGGACAGTCTTGAGGCACCCTTTAAAATTACGGACAGTCTTGAGGCACCCTTTAAAATTACGGACAGTCTTGAGGCACCCTTTAAAATTACGGACAGTCTTGAGGCACGCTTTAAAATTACGGACAGTCTTGAGGCACACCCAGTTTGAGGCATTTAAAATTATGACAGTCGAGACAGTTTGAGGCACAAAATTACCAGTCTTGAGGCACCCCTTCTAAAATGGGAGAAACTATTCTAATACAGTAGTTTTATATAACAAAGCAATATCCACACATGTAGAACACCCAACATTTAGAGGTGATTTATTCTTCCAAAGCAAATACACTTTTGCACACTGGTACAGAGTAGTATTTCAGTGTTTCTCTTCTCCATCAGTTTTTCTTCATCACTGAGCTAATGTGACCCCAGCACTGATGGAGAGGGACAGGGAAGGTCAAATTAGGCAGCTGAAATCCTCCTTATCAACTGATGATGCCGGCAGCTAGAAAGTTGTAATGGGGCACAATGAAAACCTGTGGCTTTGTGTAACTAAAAGGAAGACGTGTTCCGCCCGCTGGCTAGTATACAGTTTTGGGCAATTTATATATTTTATAACTCCACCAGCCTGAGATTTTAAGAGAGGGGTGAATGGAGCCACTGCAAACTGGGGATGTGGTCAAAAACGCTGTTGGGGTGCGGTTTGGTGGTGACAGGCCCGAAATTACAAGGGTATGGTCCTCAAATATGACAAAATGCAGCAAACTCCCTAGTAATCATAAAAATACATGGATAATGTCATGCTGATTGCCATGTTGTATAGGCAACAAACAAGGACAACACACCAGCAATCTTGAAAATACTGCGGAATGGCAATCATTACAGAATATGGGTAACATATGGGCAGTTGTGACAGCATGTGGACAACAAACAAGCAATTGTGCAAATACATAGGTAATCATGGTATTTCAAGGGAAAAAATGAATAGTCTCTTGAGAAACAAAGGGGCATTTTTTACAATACATGGGTAGCTAAAAAGGACAATCATGACAATACACAGGTAAAAATGAGTAATGGCAGCAATATAGTCTACAAAATATAGAGACCACAACAGGAGCTCAGTCTGCCAGAAGTGACATGAAGGTGGGTAGTGCTAATACAATGGCCGAACTACATTTACAAATAAAAGGGATTTAGAGTGTGTATCACCCTCCTAGTTAGTTAGGGGGAGGTAGTTAATTTTTTATTTATTATTTTTTTTAGTTAGAAGGGCTGAGTAGCAGCCTGGGGAAATAGCAGGATCAAACTCTGGTCAGGGCTGAGAGGCTCTGCAGATCAGTTCCTATATTTGGAGAAGTCTCTAGAACTCAGTGGGTGGGGGTGAGAAGGAGCTGGTCTGCATACTTTAAGGATCCCGACCAATCCCCAGGCAGGAGGTTTGGCATGGTGTTGGGACGTTACGTATGTTTGAGCCTGCTCAGCAGCAGGAGAGTTCAGGTGGAAGATGTGAGGAAGGATGAGATGCAGGAGCCTGGCAGGGGGCTCAGTGGGAAGGTGCCTACCTCCAGAAAGAGTTGCTGGAAAAGAGGATCACTCAACCTTGGGAGACCCCTGAGAGAGGACCACCTGTGCAGAAGGTCTGAAGGCAGCCACCAACCCAACATGCACCCAGGAGAGGAAGAGTGAGTAATCCTACATCCCCCTGGGTCAGTTAAGGGGAAAGGGCATTCTGGTGGGAAACCTGACTAGCTCTTTACCCGGCACTATTTGAACTTAAGTAGCAGACACTGGATCCCCTTGCTCAGGGATTCCTCCAGACAGCTGGATAAAGAAGAGGATTTATCTTGGGTCTGGGGTGGTACACCAGGAGAGCTCCCCAAGAATAAAAGTTCTGTCTTTGGACTTGTATATAGTTGCCAGGAAGTGTTCCTCAGTTTGCACTTCCCTTTGGGCATCCCATACATCTCTCAACCCCTAATATAACTTAAAAACCAAGCTCAAGGACTGTTTACGGTCTCTGGAATGCCAGTATGGGAAAATGTGTGTTGCCTGGCTGGGCCAGACTACAGGGAGACCCAAATCTTCAGCAACTCTTAAGGGAGTAGTGCTGCAAATGGGAATGTAATTGGACCCATGATGGCTCAACCACTATACCCTTCTGTAACACATCTATCTTTTTTTTTTTAAAGCAATGGGTTATTGTGGCGATATTAAGATGTCATCTTTATCCTGGTCCCCTTCTATAAAACTAAGTCTGGAATATGACCTTACCAGTTCTTTAAAGCCTGGAAATTACATTCATGAATGTAGACATCTTAGAGCAAGGAGGTTCATGGGTTGCCTGTAGATTATTTAATTTTCTTGTGTGCTATTACATATTTAACATCCTTTCTATCTCAGGGTAAATCCAAACACTCATCCTGACAAAAACCTGACAGGGAACTATTGCCGAAACCCAGATGGTAACACGCTTGGTCCATGGTGTTACACAAAAGACCCTGAAAAGCCCAAAGAGGAGTGTGCTGTGCCTGTATGTGGTGAGTGATGCCATCACCTTCACATCTTCCATCCAGGGCCCGAAATGCAGGGGCAGTTTTTAGTGGCTAGCTGGTGTCATCAAGTCTAAGGAGAAACATAAATTTATTGAACATTGCAGTCACTCAATGACTAACAAAGCTGATATGTATTATAACTGTGAAAGTATATTTTTACATTTCCAGAAAGACTTTCAAAAAGATATATTAATCTGCAAAGCACACCAAAATGCAAGTATTTTTTTCTAGTTTTGGGTAGAGTGCGCAAAGTTTCAAACCTCTGAGTTTTTTCTTTATGGTTTCTATAGCATATCCCTGTTGGGGAAAATTTGAGTATTTCGGTATTGGGAGTTCCACTTTAAAGTGACTGTGTTTGCCTACAAAAATGTATATCACCATAGATGATGACCAATGGACCCAGGCTTTGGAAATAATTTCGGACGTTTCCTTGTCACTTTCACAAAAACAAACTCAAATATTCATTATAATAAAAAAGTACATTATACGCCCAAAAAATTACATTCTTGGGGAGAAACGTTGTCCTCTCCCTTTTGTCCTAGATGTACCACAGACATTGGCACTCTTATCCGTATGTTATGGAGATGCAACAAACTTCATTGTTACTGGTCCTCCATTTTTCAATTACTTAATGGCATATGTTCTACTCAAGATCCAAAATTAGCTGTCATGGGAACTATCCCACAAGAAGTAATTCTGTTGGAATATAGTATGCTTTGAGCTTGGGCCTTATTTTTAGCCTGTAAATTGATTTTACAGAAATAGATTTCACCCCCAACTTTATCGCAATGCTGCTTTGGAGTCAATTCTAATTCGAGGAGGTAAGAATTGACATACAAGCATAGGGGTTGCCTGAAAAATTTTTACAAAATTTGGTCCTCATGGTTGACCTCTACTGAGTCGACATTCGCTGCCTCATTATCCCCCGATTGATTGTTGAACATTTGTTATTGCTCAGCTTTTCCCAAAATGTTTTAAAATTGTATGGCTCCACTCCTGTTGTGATCCATGCACTGCTCTCTAAGTCCCCAGGAGTGGGGCTCTGTACTTGCTCTCACCTGTAAGCTGAGATGTAAATGATTGTATCATGATAATTTGGAACACAAAAGTCTAAGAGTCTTTATTATATATTAAAACCTCAGAGTGTGTGACGAGGACAGTTTTATATTTTTTCGTTTTATGGGGTTTTTTTCTTGGAAAAATTTATAACATATTTTTAAAAAATTACCTAAAAGAAGAAAAAATGCATTTGGTAGCTCCCTACAATAGAAGAGCCTCTCTGGCAGTCTGTGCCTCCTTTCACCTCTGCAGCCATCAGACTCTTTAGCTTTCAACACTTATGGTATCAGATGCCTGTGTCCATTCAGAATGCACTGTGGTTTTCTTATTCTCCCAGAAATCCTCCGACATATACGTCACTCCAAGACAAATAGGTTTTGCCCACATTGAGGATTAAAACTTGCTCAGTGTGTGACGGGGACACAGACATCAGTTTTCTCCCAGAAATGTCAAAGCATTCAATCTTCTTAGAGCTCCAGACCTTGAATAATGAAGAGGTAGGGCAGACAGTTGGCTACCAGAGATGAGAGTATAATAGCTCTTCTATTACAGGCAACTCCCATTTAGATTTTATTAGGGGATTGAGAGTTGCGCTGAATCATATAATTGATATCACACATCCCATATAAATGACAGCATAAAATCATTAATTGATAATCAAGCATAAAATCGTATGCTTGACATTACCATAACAGAACATGAAGTTTATAGCTTTCTCTAGAGGTTGCCTATTTGCATCCAGGATGTGGCCGGATTCATTTGTCCACACACTGTTAATTTTTAAAACTGAGTTTCTCTCCTTGCAGGTACAAAAAAAAACCACAGTGGAGCCGATCCTTATAGTAAAACAGGAACCTGTACAGACAGAAGAGGAACACTGCGAGCCCAACCGCGGATTAGAATATGAAGGGACTCTGGCGGTGACCATATCAGGGCTGCCATGTCTCCCCTGGGACTCAGCAGATGTGGAACTGCACAGTCGCAAGGACTTCCGTAAAGAGGTTGTATTGAAGGAAAATTATTGCAGGAACCCAGACGGGGATGATGAGGGAGTGTGGTGCTATGTATCGCACATCAACATGACGTTTGATTACTGTCACTTAATCTACTGTGGTAAGCACAGCTGATAATCGCCCTATGACCCGTGTCTCTGGAGAAGTCCCTGTATTATCCCTGTATTTTTTCTTTTATATCTGAAGCAATTATGCCAAAACCAGACTTGAAAATAAGTAGAGGTGCAATACTTCCCTCATTCCTGGTTTCGGCAGGCTGCCTCCATCCATGCTCGCCTGCTCACATACAATGCAGGGTTCATAGCCTTGCACTGTACATGATGGTACAGATGACCTGCCCACATCCTGGGGCTTTGGGTGGAAGAGAAAAGTACTGGAGCCTCCCAAACCTGAGGATAGGGCACGTTATTCATCCTATTCCTGCACCCCTAGACTAAACATGCTTCAGATGGACAGTCAGGGGGTGGTAAAAACAAGAGGCCACAGTTTTGCCACCCACCAGAACTGTACAAAAACAGCTGGATGGGGCTGTTCTCATGCCGCAGCTGCAGAACGTAGCTTTGTGACTGTGGAATTTTTAACTTGGGCTGCAGAGTTTGACAAGTGGCCAGTGGGTGCGAGCGCTGATCAGTGTATTTTGATAGAGGGGGAGGGTTGGTTGAATAAAAAAAATTCAGAGTCTGTACCCAGCTTTAGACTTTTAACATCTTTGCTTTGATGTACCTGAACTGTATTCTGCTGATGTAAAGCAAAGATTTAGTTCAAGCGATATTAAAGGCTTACATTTTTTTCCCTCTAAAAATAACAAACATGTTATACTTACCTGCTCTGTGTACTGGTTTTGCACAGAGCACCCCTATCCTTCTCTTCTTGGGTACCCGGCTGGCACTCCTGGCCCCTCCCTCTTGTCGGGTGCCCCCACAGCAAGCAGTTTGATATAGGGACACCTGCTGCTCCATGTGTCCATTCACACAGAGCCACGAATTGGCCCCGCCCCCTCTCTGTTCTCATTGGATGTGATTGACAGCTATTGGCTCAGCCAATGAGAAGAGGGAGTCTCAGGATAGCTGAGACTCCAGTGCACATCTCTGGATCGAGAGGGGGCTTAGGTGATTATTGGGGGGCTGGGGGCACTGCTGCACACAGAAGGTTTTTCACCTTCATGCATATAATGCATGAAGGTAAAAAAACCCTTAAGCCTTTAAAACCACTTTAACCTCTTCACGCCGGCTGAACGCAAATGTGTGGCCTCCCGGCATCTGGGCCTAGACGCCGAGCGGCCGCACTTTTGCGTTCTATTAAAAAAGAACATATGTGCTTAGAGCGTGCGCCCTGCTCGCTCCCAGCACACATGTCCTGTACTCATGGAAAGGTCCCGATCTCCTCTTTCGATCGGGACCTTTCCCAATCATGTGACCGCAAATGTGCAGTCGCTCGGCGTCTAGGCCCAGATGCCGGAAGGCCGCACATTTGCGTTCGGCCGGCCGGCGTGAAGAGGTTATATGACAATAAAAACCCCGCCCCGCCTCCCGGCCTCTGAAACCCTTAAAGGGCCAGGAGGCGCCGGCGTGAAGGGGTTAAAGTAGAACTATAGACAAAACTTTTTTTTTATTCATTTTGAATAGCGCAAGGGAGAGTTTTATAACTTCTGATTTATTTTTGTTTGTTATGCCCCATTGCGGAGATTTCCCTTCACTTCCTGTCCCAGCAAAACAGGAAGTGAGGGGAAATCCCTGCAAATTAATGGAATTCCTTGAGGACCCCCAGGTCACCAGAACTAGTGTCCCCATTGGAAGATTTCATCTCTATTACTTTTCTGGGGACAACCCAAAATTTGGGATTTCTTTTACTTTCACTTTCAATGATAACGGTAAACAGGACAAATAGAGAGGATGAATCTCCCTAACGGGGACACAGACTGCAATAGGAAGTGACAAGCATTCTAATCTCTCTGCACTCTGTCCAAATCTAAAAACAAAGTTCTGCCTTCAGTTAGACTTTAAGTGAAAAATCCTATTGGCCAAGCAATGCGTTGTTTTCATTATGTCGACCGTCTCACAGATTTGTATTGTGAGAAGGTGCAGTAAAGCACAACTGTTGTGAAACATTGACAATCAGGATGCAGAACCTAAGTATGTAAAGATCAAAAAGGGCTGCCTCCAAGTATATTTATAGATACAAGAACTACACAGAATTTTTTTAAAACATTAACGCTCATAGATGCCATTATTTTCATCAAACTGATGTCTTTTATGTACTTATCTAAAAATCAGAGAAAAGACTATACATCCCCTTTAATTTTGCTCATATGTCAGTTTTTCTTTTCCATTCATTCATTGATGGTCACATCTTGTCACTGGGCCGACCCCCTGTCTCTGACAGACAACCCTGTAGATGAAGAACTACCCTCTGTCATTGGGGGACGCACAGACACTGTACAGCATCAGACCTTCTTTGATGAGAAATGCTTTGGCCTGGGAGAGTTGGGTAAGGAAATTACTGATGTAATGTATTTATAAAAAAATTGGTTTTTCCATGCTTGTATATCCTTCTGTGTTCATTCATACAGCATAAAGCAAGTCAGGAAAATACCACATCATGGCCCCTAGATGGAGCAGGTGAGCATAAGGAATAAATATTTGTTTACTACAATCATTGGCTCCATCTGCTGGTCATAATGTGGTATTTTTCTGAGCCGCTTTATTTTTAAAGGGATGAATAACATTGGGCTTGGAGAGAAGATTCACACAGAACAAATGTACATGAAGCTTCACGGTCTTGGTTGCTCTTTTTTCCTTGGAAAATAGACCGTTCCCAGCTCTCATTTTTAACCACTTGCCCTCCAGAGGATTTACCCCCTTTTCTGACCAGGCCGTTTTTGCGTTACGGCGCTGCTTTAATTTATCTGGTCATGCAATGCTGCACCCAAATGAAATTTACATCTTTTTTCCCCCCACAAATAGAGCTTTCTTTTGGGTGGTATTTTATCGCCTGTGCGTTTTTTCTTTTTTTGCGCTATAAACAAAAAAAGACCGACAATTTTGAAAAAAAACTATTTTTGACTTTTTGCTACATGTTCAGTAAAAAAATTTTTAAAAATCCAATGTCATCATAAATTTAGGCCAAAATGTATTCTGCTCCATGTCTTTACTAAAAAAAAAACCCAATACGTGTAAAAATTAATTGGTTTATGTGAAAGTTTATAGTGGTATATATACTGGAATTTTTCTTCTTCTTTTTACTAGTAATGGCGGCGATCAATGGCTTATAGCGGGACTGCGGTGGGCATTCTGACACTGACTTGGTGTCACTGACATCCCCAGTGACACCAATACAGTGATCAGTGCTAATAAAAAGCACTGACAGTGTACTAATGGCACTGGGCAGGAAGGAGTTAACATGTGGGGCAAGCAAAGGGTTAACTGTGTGTTGTTTTACTATGTGGGCTGTGTGTTTGCTCTACACTGAAGCACACAGCTTTGTATGGCTTTGCTATGCAGAGCCATACACAGCAGTGTGCTGCAGCTGACAGGGGAGAGATCAGTGTTGTTTATACACAGGTCTCTCCCCCATCGGTAATAGTCGGAGATTGCTGGGTGTCGGTGGGGAATCACTGGCCGGGACCTGGTGATTGACAACCGAGGCCGCAAAAGGGCGGCGCGGGTAGGGTGCACACGTACCCCCTACCCGGTGCTGCAAAATCACGTATATATGCATGTGATTTTGTGCACCCGTGCCACCCTGTAGCAGTATTTCTGCTATAGGGCGACTCGGAATCGATTAATAATGTTGTCTCTTTTGGTCCTCCTCCTGCAGTGTGTGGACAGAGGCCTCTCTTTGAACAGAAGAAAGTGAAAGACAAGGGCGAGGAAGAGTTAATATTGTCCATGCAGGGTCGTGTTGTGAAGGGAGAGGATGCCGAGCGGGGCAGTGCACCGTGGTAAGAGTGTGACGCGTGATTCCACTACAATGGCGAGCGGGGCAGTGCACCGTGGTAAGAGTGTGACGCGTGATTCCACTGGAATGGCGAGCGGGGCAGTGCACCGTGGTAAGAGTGTGACGCGTGATTCCACTGGAATGCCGAGCGGGGCAGTGCACCGTGGTAAGAGTGTGACGCGTGATTCCACTACAATGGCGAGCGGGGCAGTACACCCGTGGTAAGAGTGTGCCGCCTGATTCCACTAGAATGGCGAGCGGGGCAGTGCACCGTGGTAAGAGTGTGCCGCGTCATTCCACTAGAATGGCGAGCGGGGCAGTGCACCGTGGTAAGAGTGTTGCGCGTCATTCCACTAGAATGGCGAGCGGGGCAGTGCACCGTGGTAAGAGTGTGCCGCGTGATTCCAGTAGAATGGCGAGCGGGGCAGTGCACCGTGGTGGAAGAGTGTGACGCGCGATTCCAGTAGAATGGCGAGCGGGGCAGTGCACCGTGGTAAGAGTGTGACGCGCGATTCCACTAGAATGGCGAGCGGGGCAGTGCACCGTGGTAAGAGTGTGACGCGCGATTCCAGTAGAATGGCGAGCGGGGCAGTGCACCGTGGTAAGAGTGTGCCGCGTCATTCCACTAGAATGGCGAGCGGGGCAGTGCACCGTGGTAAGAGTGTTGCGCGTCATTCCACTAGAATGGCGAGCGGGGCAGTGCACCGTGGTAAGAGTGTGCCGCGTGATTCCAGTAGAATGGCGAGCGGGGCAGTGCACCGTGGTAAGAGTGTGACGCGCGATTCCACTAGAATGGCGAGCGGGGCAGTGCACCGTGGTAAGAGTGTGACGCGCGATTCCACTAGAATGGCGAGCGGGGCAGTGCACCGTGGTAAGAGTGTGACGCGCGATTCCAGTAGAATGGCGAGCGGGGCAGTGCACCGTGGTAAGAGTGCGACGCGTGATTCCACTAGAATGGTGGCTCCTTGAATGACAGAGTGAGGAAGTCTGGCCTGCTGGTAGCAGGTGCTGATTGCCGTTTTTTTTTCTATGTTAAGTGTTTATTCTTAAAGCCCAATTCCAGTTGAGAATAAAAACATTTTTAAGTCCGGATTTTTTTTTTCTTTTTAATAGATTTTTATTGGGTTCTCCCATTACATAACATAATACAAAGTCAGACACAATAAAAAGAGAAACTTTCCGTATGTAGCACACAGAAACAAGTAAGCTCACACTCTAGGTTTCTGAAGATTTTCAAGAAAACTTCAAGTGTAAAAAAGAAAAATAATAAAAATCCATTGCTCCTAGAGTGGTTGTAAACCCTTCCATATACCCAGTGAAGTGACTGACCCCAGGTGATACACAGAGATTAAACAAATCCTCCTACATAGGTTGTACCTGTTTTTCTGCAGCCTCTCTTCCTTACAGCCACCCCGGTTCACACGTGTGAATTCAGATGCATTATAGAACACATTGATTTGCATGACTTGTAAAATAACATCGGGTTCTATTGTGACCGTTTGCATATATGTGTGCAGTCGCAGTGCGAATTTAGAGTCCTGTGCGTATTCTGAGCAGTGCAGTGCGGGTCGGTTCAAATTACAGGCTCATTGACTTAAATGGGAACGCTTCTAAATCGCACATGTCATCAGCTGTGAACATGATTTGAGCCTTGCCAGTTCGCATCAGAACTGCATCTAAATTGCAACGAAGCCACTGATCTGCTTTGGAAATTTATATTGAAAACGTACCTGAACATTGCACTGCACATGTGTGAACCCAGGGTAGCACACATTTTATTCAGCATTTCTGAGCTCCAGAAGGAAAGGGGACGAAGACCTGATGTCACACACTGCACAGCATAGAACAGGGAGCTGAGTGTAATCTGTGACATGTGTAGAGAGAAAAGACACCCCCCCACCAACACACAATTACATAGTTAGTCTGGCAGAAAAAAGACAAAAGTCCATCCAGTTAAACCATAGAAAAAAAAAAAGTTATAATCCTATACCCACAGTTGATCCAGAGGAAGGCAAAAAAAAAACCCAGCAAAGCATGATCTAATTTGCTCCTGCTGGGAAAAAATTCCTTCCTGATCCCCCGAGAGGCAATCAGATATTCCCTGGATCAACGTTACCTATAAATGTTAGTATCCAGTTATATTCTGTGTATCTAAGAAACAATCCAGGACTTTTTTGAAGCAATCCACTGAGCTGGCCAGAACCAACTCTTGAGGGAGTCTATTCCACATTTTCACAGCTCTCACTGTGAAGAAACCTTTCCGTGTTTGGAGATTAAATCTCTTTTCCTCCAGACATAGAGTGCCCCCTTGTCCTCTGTGATGACCTCAGGGTGAATAACTCTACATCGAGTTCACTATATGAACCACTGATGTATTTATACATGGAGATCATATCCCCCCTTATGTATTATACATGGAGATCATATCCCCCCTTATGTATTATACATGGAGATCATATCCCCCCCCTTATGTATTATACATGGAGATCATATCCCCCCCTTATGTATTATACATGGAGATCATATCCCCCCTTATGTATTATACATGGAGATCATATCCCCCCTTATGTATTATACATGGAGATCATATCCCCCTTATGTATTATACATGGTGATCATATCCCCCCTTATGTATTATATATCCCCCCCCTTATGTATTATACATGGTGATCATATCCCCCCTTATGTATTATACATGGAGATCATATCCCCCTTATGTAATTATACCCCCCCCTTATGTATTATACATGGAGATCATATCCCCCCTATCCCCCCTTGTGTATTATACATGGAGATCATATCCCCCCTTATGTATTATACATGGAGATCATATCCCCCCTTGTGTATTATACATGGAGATCATATCCCCCTTATGTATTATACATGGAGATCATATCCCCCCTTATGTATTATACATGGAGATCATATCCCCCCTTATGTATTATACATGGAGATCATATCCCCCTTATGTATTATACATGGAGATCATATCATCCCCCTTGTGTATTATACATGGAGATCATATCCCCCCTTGTGTATTATACATGGAGATCATATCCCCCTTGTGTATTATACATGGAGATCATATCCCCCCTTGTGTATTATACATGGAGATCATATCCCCCCTTGTGTATTATACAAGATCATATCCCCCCTTGTGTATTATACATGGAGATCATATCCCCCCTTATGTATTATACATGGTGATCATATCCCCCCTTATGTATTATACATGGTGATCATATCCCCCCCTTATGTATTATACATGGAGATCATATCCCCCTTATGTATTATACATGGTGATCATAACCCCCCTTATGTATTATACATGGAGATCATATCCCCCCTTATGTATTATACATGGAGATCATATCCCCCCCTTATGTATTATACATGGAGATCATATCCCCCCCCTTATGTATTATACATGGAGATCATATTCCCCCTTATGTATTATACATGGAGATCATATCCCCCTTATGTATTATACATGGTGATCATAACCCCCCTTATGTATTATACATGGTGATCATATCCCCCCTTATGTATTATACATGGAGATCATATCCCCCCTTATGTATTATACATGGTGATCATATCCCCCCTTATGTATTATACATGTTGATCATATCCCCCCTTAATCTCCTCTTCTCAAGAGATAATAAATTCAGTTCCTCTAATCTTTCCTCATAGCTGAGCTCCTCCATGCCTCTTATCAGTTTGGTTGCCCTTCTCTGTACTTTCTCCAGTTCCCCAATGTTCTTTTTGTGAATTGGTGCCCAAAACTGAACTGCATATTCCAGATGAGGTCTTACTAATGATTTGTACCGGGGGAAATTATATCTCTCTCTGGAGTCTATACCTCTCCTAATACAAGAGAGGATTTTGATCGCTTTAGAAACTGCAGCTTGGCATTGCATGCCATTATTAAGCTTGTGATCTACCAGAACCCCCAGATCCTTCTCCACCTTTGATTCCCCCAGTTGTACCCCCCCTAGTATGTATGATGCATGTGTATTCTTAGCCCCCAAGTGCATAACCTGACATTTATCAACATTAAACCTCATTTGCCACATAAACCACATTTGCCACAATCTCATAGGGAAACATGCACAGCTGATACTATCGATCACCTGCTTGGGGGGGGGGGGGAAGGGACCACCAAAGTGACTCAGGCAGATAGTAGGACGAGACAGAAATCACACTCTGTGCTTTGGATTGGGACAAGTGCACACTATAAAAAGGATCTGCTTTGTTCATTTTTCATTTCAGAGGTTTACAACTTTAACTTTGAAATAATAAAAAGCAGCTATGGCTGCAGTGCTCGCCCTATTTGTGTGCTGTCCCCTGCTTTGTCATGCTGTGTCGGCCCTCTTCCAAGTTGGACGACACCCAGCATCATTTAAATCACTTCCTGTGAGCTCAGGGTGTCAGGCCCGCTCCTGGGCAGTACATCATTGAGTTACCCTGGCTCAAAGGAGAAAGCTGCAAAGAACAATACCATGTAGAGATCACTTACTCATTTCCTATAGGTTGTCAATGCTCTTCCCCCCCATGTCTGGAATGTCATGGGGGGGAGGGGGGCAGTACCATCTGTCTATTCCATCACCCTGACCCAGCGATTCAGCAGTAGTGAGATTTCAGTTATGGTTTCCCAATACAGGTTAGGAGGCAAAGGTAGACATTCCATTGGCGATTTTAGGATACACCCATGTATTTTTCTGAATGCCCTGTTGTCTGATCCTTTTTATTTTTGTACCAAGGCAGGTGATGATCTTTAAAAAACAGCCGCAGGAGCTGCTCTGTGGGGCAAGTCTTATAAGTGATACCTGGATACTCACAGCAGCTCACTGCATCTTCTACCCACCCTGGGACAAGAACTTCACAGAGGACGACCTACTGGTGCGCATTGGAAAGCACAACCGCTTGAAGTAAGACAATTCACCCATTTATCAAAAAAGTTTGAACTGCATTATGCCACACAGTGCAACAGGTGCTGGGTATCCCTGGGGTTTGCCAATAAATAACTGGATCTACCTAAAGGTTTTCCCTCTTAATGCGGAGTTCCAAATTTAAAAAAATAATTAAAAGTCACCAGCTGCAAAAACTGTATCTGCTGACTTCCAAAATACAGACAATTACCTGTCCCTCGGTCCAGTGGTGTCCTCACCACAGCTGGCTTCACCGGCCGTCTTCTCTCCCCGGCATCTTCAGTGTGGGCACCCGGCTGTGAGAGCTTGCGGCTTTACAGCCGGGTGCCCACTGCGCATGTGCGAGACGCTGCGCTTTGTGAATGGCCCCATATTCTTCTGGGACCTGTCCCAGAAGACTAAGGAGAGGGAGGGGGGGGGGGGGAGGACAACTTCCGTTTCCAATCATCTTCTAGGCCACGGATGTCAAACTGGCGGCCCTCCAGCTGTTGCCAAACTACAAGTCCCATGAGGCATTTCAAGATTGACAGTTACAAACATGACTCCCAAAGACAGAGGCATGATGGGACTTGTAGTTTTGCAACAGCTGTAAGGCCGCCAGTTTGACATCCCTGGTCCAGGCGATCGCAGCGAAAGTGGGAGCGAATGCCTGTCAAATTCGGGTGCCCACCCCCCCTGCTCCCTAAAGGTGTCAATCCTTAACCTACCTAGCGGTATTCCCGAGTGTAGCTCGGGGCAAAATGTCAGTACCAAAAGCGGTAACCCCGAGCTACACTCGGGCTTACCATGCGGCGTTGCTCAGGGAGTCCCTGCAGCACTTACCTTGTCCTGCTCTCCTGCTGTTCTTCTCTGGGTAACTGCATTTATCTGCTACCTCCACTCTTAACCAGACAAACGCATTGACTCCTGTTAAATTCTCAACAAATGTTGTAATTATATCTGTGTATCTGTTGACTTGTCCTCACCTCTAGGCGCACTCAGGTTTATGACTGTGGCCTGGTTCCTAAGAATCATCCCCCCCCCCTATTCATGTGAGCCTTATCAGCTTCTAATTGGGGCGGAGTTGAATGCTCATTTGAGCATCTCCCTATAAATTTAGTTCAGCTCATGGGGGAGATCTCTGATGGGGGGCTGCTTATGATGGAGTGCGGCTTTGAATGAGTGCAGAGCAGTTAAACACAGCAGGCAGTTAAACTAAAGCAGGAGAACTTAAGCAGCAGGAAGACACAACAACAGCAAGAAACTCTACTGCATGCTGGACAGACTGCAAGCAAACACCCTGGGAAACATCTCTTACATACCTGAGTCCCACTCCGTGTACCTTTTTATATAATACACCCCTCTTCTGCTCTTCATATTACTATCCTCTGTTCCCAAATCTCATTTCTTTACCCCTCTGCTCCACCCCAAAACTTGTACATCTACCCCTCATTGCTATCATCTCCCTACTATTGCTTTCATCACCTCCCAAAATGCCTCTTCCACTCCTCCTTCTCATTTTTCCTCTCCTCTGTTCCCAAAATCCATTCACTATATCCCTCTGCTCCTCCCAAACATTTGTATATTGTGCCCTCACTGCTTCCTTCACACCCCTCTATGGCACCTACCACCTCCTCCTATTACTCCACTCTCCCACTGACCCCAACACCTCCACTAGTAGTTTCTCACGCTCCTGCACATCCTGCTCCCATGCCACCTTTCTCACCCTTCTCCTCCTCATAACCGCGGGGGACATCTCCCCGAATCCTGGCCCTCCACCACCGCCCTCACCCCCCCTCCGCACAAAACCCTCCCGCCTCCACGTCCTGCCGCAACTTAGTATCTGTCCCCCTGCTCCCTAAAATCTCCCCCCCGTTTTCATGTGCACTCCTGAACGCCCGATCGGTGTGCAACACAAGCTTACCGCCATCCACGACCTCTTTGTTTCCCGCTCCCTCAACCTCCTGGCGATTACAGAAACCTGGATCCAGCCCACTGACTCTACCTCCCCTGCTGCACTCTCCTACGGCGGTCTCACCTGGACCCACTCACCCAGGCCCAACGGTCGTAAAGGTGGTGGGGTTGGCCTGCTCCTGTCACCGCTGAGCACCTTCCGAATCCTCCCAAACCCCCCCTCCCTATCCCTTCTCCTCCTTCGAGGCCCACTGCGTCCGACTATTCTCCCCAACCCCCCCCTGAAGATTGCTGTGATATACCGGCCTCCTGGATCCATACCCCGCTTCCTGGAAGACTTCTCCTCCTGGCTACCCTTCTTCCTCTCCTCTGAGCTACCCACTATCATCCTTGGGGATTTCAACATCCCTGTCAACCTCGACAACCCGGACACAGCCCGTCTCCTCCACTTAACCTCCTCCTTTCAACTTGCACAGTGCATACAATCCACCACCCACTCCGACGGTAATATCCTTGATCTTGTCTTCTCCAACCGCTGCGCTCCCCACAACCTCACTAACACCCCCTTCCCTCTCTCTGACCACAACCTGATTACCTTCTCTATCTCCTCGTCCTCCAACGCCTACCCCTCCAAATGTCACACTACTACCAGCCGTAACCTCCGCAACCTTAACCCTGCCTCCCTCCATTCCGCAGTTGATCAACTCCATGACCGCATCCTCCCCCTGTCCTGCCCCGACTTGGCTATGACCGCCTACAACAATGCGCTGTCAACAGCCCTTGACTCACTAGCGCCTTTAACCACACGCAACATCAGACCCCGACCGCTCCAGCCCTGGCAGACTGATCACACCAAAACCCTCAAACGACACAGTCGTGCCCTGGAGCGACTATGGCGCAAAACCAAATCCCAACAAGCCTTCACCCGATACAAATCTGCCTTCCACACCTACACCTCCTCCCTCCATACTGCCAAACAGAACTACTTCCTGACCCTCATCAAGGCCCCTCTCCTCCAATCCTCGCCGACTCTTCTCCACCTTCAACTCTCTACTCTCGCCACCCCCACCTCCACCCAGCACCTCACTCACTGCCCTTGAGATTGCCAATCATTTCAAAAACAAGATTGACACAATTCGCAAGGACATTGCCGCAACTCACACGCCTTCTCAACCCGTCCCCTCTCACACAGCTACCCCCTCATCCCCCCTCCCCCTCGACATAACCCACAGGGACTTCGTCGCTGCTGCTCAAACTCCCTCCAACCCCCTTCCCCCTCACTCAGCTACCCCCTCTACACCCCTCTCCCACGGCCCCACCACTGCTCTGACCTCCTCTCCCACCCCACCCTACATTCCTCATACTGAAGCTCCCCCCAACACTCCGCACCTTTGACCTTACTACCATCGAAGAAGTCTCCAAGATCCTCTCTGATGCCCGCCTCACCACCTGCCCCCTTGACCCTATCCCCTCACAACTCCTACAACCTCCCTCCCCCCCCCCATCCATCCTACGCTCCCTCACCCACATCTTCAATCTCTCCCTCTCCCTCCGGCACTTTCCCTTCCCCTCTGAAACATGCACACATCACCCCCATACTTAAAAAGCCCTCCCTGGACCCCAATGACCCGAACAACCTCAGACCCATCTCCCTGCTCCCATTTACATCTAAACTCCTCGAGCGCCTAGTCTACGCCCGCCTATGCTCTCACACTCAACGACAACAACCTCCTCGATCCCCTACAGTCCGGCTTCCGTCCCCTACACTCCACCGAAACTGCCTTACTTAAACTCTCCAACGACCTGTTAACCGCCAAAGCTAATGGCCACTATTCAGTGCTCCTACTCCTTGACCTCTCTGCGGCCTTTGACACAGTCGACCACCCCCTCCTCCTCAAAAAACTACACTCCCTCGGCCTCAGAGATTCTGCTCTCTCCTGGCTCTCATCCTACCTGTCACAACGCTCTTTTTCAGCGTTACCTATAATGCCACCACCACCTCCCTCTCACTCCCCCTCTCTGTTGGGGTCCCTCAAGGCTCTGTCCTCGGGCCCCTTCTCTTCTCCATCTACACCTCCTCCCTTGGCCAACTCATACACTCTCACGGCTTCAACTACCACCTCTATGCCGACGACACACAAATCTATCTCTCAACCCCCCACCTCACCCCCTCGGTCTCCGCCCGAATCACACACCTGTGAGCGACATATCAGACTGGATGTCGCTCCACTTCCTTAAACTGAACCTCTCCAAAACCGAGTTTCTTGTCTTCCCTCCAGCCCGGACACCACCCCCCATTGACTTCTCCATCATGTCCAACAACGCCACCATCAAACCCGCCCCGCAGGCCCAGAGTACTTGGTGTCATTTTGGACTCCAACCTATCCTTCCAGCCCCAAGTCCACTCTTTAACAAACTCATGCAGACTCCACCTCCGCAACATCGCCAAAATCCGCACGTTCCTAACTCCAGAAACCACTAAACAGCTCATCCACTCCCTCATCATATCACGACTCGACTACTGCAACTCCCTCCTCACTGGCCTGCCTCGCCGCTGGCTATCCCCGCTTCAGTCCATCCTGAATACGGCTGCCAGACTCATTCACCTTTCCAACCGCTCCGTTTCCGCCACCCCCCTCTGCCAATCCCTCCACTGGCTTCCGATTGCGCAACGGATCAAATTCAAAATCCTAACGCTGACGTACAAAGCTGTCCACCATACTGCCCCGAACTACATCACTGACCTAATATCCAAGTACCCCAGCCCAGCACGCACACTCCGCTCCTCACAAGACCTCCTTCTCTCTAGTTCCCTGGTCTCCTCCTCCCATGCCCGCCTCCAGGACTTCTCCAGGGTGTCGCCCATCCTCTGGAACTCCCTGCCCCAACCCATCAGATTATCACCTACTCTCCTCTCCTTTAGGCGCACCCTGAAAACCCATCTCTTCAGGGAAGCCTACCCCGCCCCCTGCTAACTTGCCGACCTCCTCCACTCTTCCTACCACTCCATCCCCCACAGCTATCTCCTCCTGTGCCACCATCCCCTCCCTCCTAGATTGTAAGCTTGAAAGAGCAGGGCCCTCGATCCCCTCATGTTTTTGCATTGT